GTTAAGTAGCACAGGCTGGCCTTTAACTCGTGACTGCCACAGCCACCAGTGTGCTGGGGACTAGAGATGTGTCCCACAATGCCTACCTGTCTGTACTTGGAACCTAAAGGATTTTTCCTGTGTGTGACCCAAACCTGAGTTCTACAACAATTAAGTCAACACTGGGTAAAGAAAACAATAAGAGTTCAAGTGCTTCAACAGGGAAGCCGTCTGTGTGGACAGTGTGGCCCGCCCTTTAGAGGCAAGGTTCAAAGTGAGCTGCCCACTGTACAGCATCCCTGAACTCGCATTGCTACCCGGATGTCTGCTGTCTGGGATTTTCTAGAGCAGTGTTTCTCAGCCTTCCCAGGGCTGCAACCATCTAATACAGTTCCTCGTGTTTAGGAACCCCCAACCATAACATTATTTTGTTACTGCCTAATTCTGCTACTGTTATGAGCCATAATATAAATATCTGATATGCAGAATATCTGATATGCAGCCCCCGAAGGGGTTGCAACTCGCAGGTTGAGACCCACTGTGCTAGAGGAAAGCACTCAATGTCCTCGGTAAGAAAGCAGCCCAGAATGCAGATGACACCATGAGCATCATGCTCTGAAGTGGGAATCCTCAGGAGAGATGAAGACTAGAGAACACAGCTAGAGCTCTGCTAGTCCTGATAACCGGCCAGGCTAGCCTTCTTCTCTGTGTGTTAATGGCTCACAATAATAATGTCCGTAACAGAAGCACCAACAGCTTGTGATTCGTTTCATTACAGGAGTCTGAAGAGCATTTTGAGATTTTCAAAACACTTTGATATACATCATTGTCTTTGCCCCTAGGCCTTTATCCCAGGAAGGATGATGAATGATTAAAATGAGGGAAAGAAACAAAATGGCGAATTAAAAATGAACAAAGCATTCTGAGAGGAAAGCAGGAAGGCAGAGAGAATTAAACTGATTTTATCAGGGCTAAGGAGGTCCCCACCCCTTCATCCAGGTGAAGTTAGAGACGTTCTCATGGAAAAAGCTCAAATTCCTTAAGCTCTAGACTAATACATTCCTATTGCCTGCTAGTCATCTTCCCCTAAACAAAGCATATTCTTTCCCTTAACATCTTCAGCACTTACCATCTCAGAATAAGATTCTCCCTCTCATACCTCAGTTACCTATACCACAAACCCTAGATGTCACCTTAGACCCTCTTCTCCCTTCCCCACATATGTAGATTGCTGTGAATCTGTCTATGGTATAACTAGCTAAGCATGTGCTCTGAACTCCTGCCTATTGGTCCTGCATGCTCTGTAGCCAAACTCTTAATGTCTCCCCCTTAAAGGGTCAGCCTCAGCTTCTTGGTTTCTGCTACATCAAGGATCTATCTGGTCATACTCAGTAGAACAAGAATATACCCCCACCATCCCTCACTGACTTGGTCATCCTGATATCTTTTTGGAGCTTAGCTGAGCTTATAACATAACCACTGCCAAGGTTCTGCCCTTGCCTGTCCTGACACCTCTTCCCTCACTGTTCTAGGCAAAGCCAGCCTCTTCCCTCACTGCCTAGAACAGAGATTGGCTCATAGAAGAGAATGAGTAAGTGTTTGAAAGGACAAATGCAGCCATTCATTTTTAGCTGGTCTTCATAGTTACTACCCAACCCCGTACTTGAGAGGATGCTCGTGAGCAGAGGAACCCACCCCCAACTCCTTCAAGGCAGTGGCAAGGAGACTTCGTTCTCAGCACTTACATGCTGTGTAGCCTTGATCCAGTCATGTGAGTGGTAGTCTGCCTCTCAGAGTTCAAGTCACACACTCCGTGGGTCTACTTGCAGTGGGCACACTAATGTGCCACAGATGCAATGTTTGCATTTGCAGCCTTGTGAGTCAGGACTCCTGATTGCATGGTCTTACTCTTGTACTTTCTGATTCATTGGGTGAGGAGAGGCTAGGTCTGAGCTTACATGAAACTTAATTCTTTTGGGTTTCTGTGACATAATACCATAGATTGGGTTATTTATAAATAATGGAAATTGGCTTTTCACAGTCCTAATAAAGACTGGATTGCTGGCCATAGATGCATCTTCTCACTATGCCCTCACTTGGTGAGTAAGCAAGGGAGAACTCTGGATACTCTCTTATAATGGTGAAAATCCACTCATGACATAGTTGTTCCAAAGGCTCCGTCTCCTACACCATCACATGGAGACCCAGGTTTCAACATAAGAGTCATAGTAAACCAAAGTGCCCAGTCTCTAGCCATACTGGAGTCCCTGGTCCAGGAATCCCACACTGAGAAACGCTGCTCCAAAGGTGCCTAAGGACACTGCTTGCTGTCCCGTCTTCCTTCACAAAGCATGCTATTTCAACACCCAAACTGCATGTTTATACCTTACCACCCTTTTCTATTTTTCTTGAATCTTTACCCAGCCTGCAAATTCCTCTGGGCAAAAATTATACTTTCCACACTATGTTTTGCAAAATAATGAGTACATTTCCAGAGTGATTAATAATAGAGTAGGGGAAGGGGAGAAAACTCCAGATAGCGAAGGTAATAAAGAGCATCTACAAATGGATATCAGCCCGAAATTCTCTTAAAATTAATTATAAAGCAAAGAACAGTCTACCCATCAGTGGCAATGGAAAAAAAAAAATGATTTTCTTTATGACATAGTTTAAGAATGTAGGCTATTTGAGATTTAAGTCTAACTTATTTAAATACCACCATTTCTGGAAATACAATACCACAAACAACATTTCAACTCCAAATTCTTACAACGCTAGTCAGACCATTGTGTCTGTCACATGTAAAATCCATTAGGCAGTCGTGGCAAGTGTTTGTGATAGGTTATAAATTTTTATTGAGATGATCATCTCGCGATTGAATTTCTAAGTGCATTATATGATCACGAGCAAATAAGTCCACAGGGGCTTTGAAAGTGCTTTGAATGCCATTTCCAAAGATCAAAGCCCTTACATTTACCTTGCGGAGAAAGAGAAGCCTTATCAACAGGTTCAAATCAATTATTTTTATGAATGACTATTGCATGGCAGAGCTGAGGTAGGGAATTGCCTGGCTTAATAACATATCCTTCTGTCCTTTGAAAGCAGTTAGCTTCATAATCAGGTTTCAATGAGGAATTTTACCAAAGATCTGTTTAGAAAAATCATTGGGAAAATGGACTCTCTGTTCATCACAGTGGTTCAATAATTTTCAAAGGAGTAAGTCTGGGCCATAGCAATATTAGTGCTCTTGGCTTCTACACGTCAGGAGCACTCCTGAGACGCGAAAGAGAGGCTGCTGTAGGTTCTGCTTGAACACTCAAACTGGCTCATGAACAACTGAAAATTCAAGCTTGTTCCAAAACCATTGATCTAGGAGGGAGCAATGCAAGCACAGAGCAAATGTACTTATATGTGACTGTGCTCATAGAAGACATAAGAAGAGTAAAAACTTAAAGCCACACAGAAACACACACACACACACAGTCCCCCTTAGATCACCACTGTGGTCAGACACGCCCATTTCCGCCTGGTGTTTCCTTTCTGTCTAATTCAGATGGCTTCTTCCTGCCTCCCAGTAACTCACAGGCTGCAAACCCCTACCTCTACTTATAAAGAAAATACTGAGCTTTCCGGGAGGTGTCTGTGAGCTGCAGTATAGCGTCTTGTACTTTTTGCTCCACCTGATGTCTAAAATTGAGCTCCTATGCACATCAGATGGTGCTCTCATTTTCATGGGTTACTAATAAAGTAGGGATAGCCTCTGCCCTTGCTTTTCCTCCTAATCCCTGAGTTCTTTATAGCATAATACAGTGAGGGGAAACAATTTTCGTGGCATTGACTGTCAAATTCTAACAGGCCTGACACAACATCCTCCACTGTGTCCCGTGTTGGTGTACCTATGAATTTTTCACTCAGAGGCAATGTTGCTTCATTTTCCTTCAGAAGCCCATGCTGGATGCGTCACTAGGCCCGGAACCACAACAGTACAGTAGCTCTGAGCTCAGTATGTTATACCAGGGACGCTCACCTTTCTATTCATCATGGTGTCGTCAAAGATCCAGGGCTCTGGAGTCAGAAAACCTGAGTGCAAATCCTGAGTGTACCACTGGCCATGTGGGGAGCCCAGATAAAGTTAGAAAACACTGAGCCACTCTCCCTTCGTGTCTACGTGGAACAAAAGTACTTCCATGGAGTGGTACTTGAGGGTGATAAGAACAGATTGTGAGTTTTAGAAAAATGAACACCAGTCTCTTTTAATTTCATGGGTTCCATTCAGAGATCCAAGCTCAGCCAACAGACAAAGCCAAGAGACCTTGGGGATAATCTTGTATGCAGAGAACCTTTCCAATCACATCCACTCTAGCAGCGCTTAGGCAGGAACACCAGGGAAACAGCTGGAGCCAGAAACCCACAGTTATCTTAGAATCCAGAGGTCCCCAGAAGGACTGTCTCAAGTCACACTCTTTAGTCAGAAGCCAGGAGCTCCCAGAGGATATGGAGTTGGGAAATTCTGAGGAACCAAGGCAGTTTCAGAGTCAATTCTGAGACACCCGCAGAACCAGGAAGCTATAGCGGTGTAACTGGCAAGAGGATCTCCTCAGAGACAAAGCTAGAACCAGGAAGCACCAGGACAATGACCAGACCCAGGGGTCACAGACCAAGCAAACTACACCTACTAGATATACAACTGGAACCAGAAGCCTGCAGGAACGTAGTTGACATGGGGACTTTGAGGGCAGAACCAAAACCCATTAGAGAAATGCAAACGGCACTAGGATTCCTCACAATGATAGAGCCAATGCCCCATCAGAAATACTGTCAACATCATGAGCATATCCGTGACACGACCAAAGACAGAAGGTTCTAGAATCACATCCAGAGCTGAGAGTTTCTCTCAAGTCTGAACAAGCCTTTAATGGTCTTTCCATCAAAGGCTGCACATCTACACCAGAGGAATCTGTGTCCAAGAGGCAAGAGGAGGGCCAATCAGAACAGCACAACATCTGGAGGGACGTCCTTACCTGCACACTTGGTCCTGGTGGTAAGAGGAGGTCCTGGTGGTCCTGTGCCTCCCTCGCCTGGCCGTGTGAGCAGCACCCGGATCTCATACTCCACATCAGGGTCCAGATGCCAGAGTTTGTAGTTGGGAGAATCCACGATGTGGGTCTCGGCCCAGGTGCCCGTGGTAGTGCGGTATTCCACTTCCTTCAGAATGATGGGACCGTCCCCAATAATGGAGTTGGCATTTGGCTTAATCCACAGGTAGGTGGCCCCCACCGCCAGCAGTTCTGGGGGAGCGATAGGCGTGGGAGGCTCTGTAAGAAAGCAAGCAAGCCAAGGAATTTCAGTCTAAGTTTACGAAGTAGATCCAAGCATGTAAAGAAAAGAGGCCAAACTCTCAACAAAACCATAGAGAGGACTGTTGAAATGGCAGGTAAAGGAGCTTGTGCCAACCATACCTTGAGATGGATTCAAAGGACCCACATGGTAGAAGGAAAAATGACCCCCAAAAGTTGTCCCTGACCTCCACAAGAGCATATATTCTCTCTTCTCATTCTCTCCCCCCACTTCTCTCTCCCTCCCTCCTCCCCCCCCTCTCTCCCTCTCTTGTGTGTTATCATTTAGAGTAACTTGTATGAATGTACGTTTAGGAATGACTGGTTGGGACTGCATAACCTGTCAGTGGCTGATTCTCCCTCTCAGCAGCCTTTTGCTGCCTATAGTTCTTCATCTAGGGGTGGAGCCTTGTGAGATTTTCCCATCCATGCTGGAAAACCATCTGGTGTTGAACATTATGTGGGTACTGTTGAGGGAACCATGTAACTGCAGTTTCATGGGTGCAACTCTCATATATAGAAGGCACTATCTCACATCGGATGCCCGCATCCTGTGGCCCTTCACCATCTTTCTCCTCTTCCAAGATCTACTCTGAGCTTTCACTGCAGGGATCATGTTACAGACAGATGTGACATTTGGGGCTGGACACCTCACGGTCTGTTGTCTGCGCTTCACCAATTCTGGGTGTGCTGGTTAGTTGTATGTCAACTTGACACAAGTTGTTTGCTGTGGGAGGGGGTAGTCAATTATGGGCATTGCCAATCCTGGGCTTGTGGTCCTGGGTTCTATAAGAAAGCAGACTGAGCAAGCCACAAGAGCCAGCTAATAAGCAGTACTCCTCCAAGGCCTCTGCATCAGCTCCTGCCTCCAGGTTCCTGCCCAGTCTGAGTTCCTTTCCTGACTTCCTCCAGTGGTAAGCAGTGATGTAGAATCATAAGCCAAATAAACCCTTTCTTCTCCAAGTTGCTTTGGTCATGGTGTTTGTCACAGCAATCATAATTCTGACTAAGACAGTGGGTTTCCCCAAATTAGCTCCATATACTGCAACAGGAATTTTCTTTGATAGGGTCTAAGAGCAAAACTTATCCATGGGAAGAAAGATACGTATTTAGAATACAGTTAAGCACTACACTGATCTAGAAAAGTGCCTGCAGTAGATCCTCCTCTAGAGCCCATGATATCAACCATTATGGGGTATTGAATAGGTTTACAGTAACCATCCATAAATTCCCTCCCATTAAGGATCCTTAAATCTAATTAGACAGTTGAACGCTAATCCCAAGATATCATTGACACTATTGTACCACTAATGATATCTTGCCAAACTGGTCATTGCCATGGTTAGTAGGTAGTTGGGTAAAACTGACTGCTTTTCTCTCGTGGCAGCTTGCACAGAACCTTTGGATGCTGTGAGACCTAGTCCTCCAGGAGGAGGTTTTCAGGCCAGTTCCACCTCAGATCACACACACTGTTAGCAGAAACCCTCTGTAGATGGTGGGGTGAACACGGATAGGAGATGGTGATGCAACAAGAATCCAGCTTCGCCCTCACCCTGACAGGTTTCTGCCAGCAGAGTGTCATTGGCTAACAGGAGCATAGCAGGAATCAAGGGCCAAAGGAAAGGTCATAGCAAGTTCTCTGCTAACTTATCTATGTGACACCTTCCTTAGGCAATATATCTTTAACCAAATAGACATAACCAAACTCATAGAGCAATTAACAACCCCCTGCAGGGTCTCCATATGTAGGTCAGGCTGCCCTCAGACTCACTCTGTATCCAGAATGGTCTCAAATGCCAGGTTCCCTTGCCTTGGCCTTCCAATTACAGGAATTATAGGTATGCATCACCATGTCTTACCACGTGGCCATCTGTTTGTTTTGAGATGTCTTTCAGGCTTTATTTTACTTTCTGAAAAATATTTTATTTGAAGCTGGAGAGATACCTCAGTGGATAAGATCATTTGTTTGCTCTTGAAGAAGACCTGCGTTCAAGTCCCAGCACACACCTGGTAGCTCATAACCATGTCTAACTCCAGTTACAGCAGGGGATCTTCTAACATTCATGCACACCAGGTACACAAACGGTACACACACACACACACACACACGTTAAATATTCATGCACATAAAATAAAATAAATGTTTAAAAAAGTATTTTATTTAATAATCATACGTGCATATTATTTTCGCAGGACTTCCACAGGATCAGCCATCGTCTCAGCACAAATACAGAGGGGCTTGTGAAGCGCCACCACTACCTGAGGAGTTATGGTATCTACTGGGGAGGGAGAGTCACATTTTGTCAGGGATGTAGATTCTGAGATGCAACCCATGATCCAAAGAATTGATTTATTTTTGGTTGTGCATAAGTGTGTGGGTATTTACATGTGAGTGCAGGTACCTCAGAATCCAGAAAAGAACATCCACCCTCTTAGGCTTGGAGTTACAGGTAGTTGTGAGCTGCCTGGTGTGGGTGCTGGGAACTGAATGTCACTCTTCCACAACAGCGGGAAGTACTCTTTTCTAAAAATGTTTATTTATTTATGTAATGTACATTGAGGTTTTGCCTGCATGTATGCCTGTATGAGGATATCATATCCCTGGGAACTGGAGTTACAGACCGTTGTGAACTGCCATGTGGGTGCTGGGAATCGAACCTTGGTCCTTTGGAAGAGCAATCAGTGCTATTAACCACCAAGCCATCTTAACCACTGAAATCGCTCCAACATCCCTCACATTTTGTTTGTTTTGTTTTTAAAGAAGCATGGTGTGTTCATTATTTTTATTTGTGAAAAACACAGACGTGGGAACAACAACCACCACAAAAAGTAAGGAAAAGAAAGCATGTCTCTCTTACCAGCCAGTTCTGCACATTCTAATGCAGTTCTTATTCACGTCTCACATTGTCCTGTAGTCTCAACGACACACAGGCTAGTGGTACATGGTTTTGTTTCCTTCACTTTAAGCACCCTAGAAGATCCAGTTACATGCTACAAGGAAAGAGGAGTTACTGTCTTTTCTAGGTTCTGACTAGACTATAAAATTATGATCCTAAGTGTGCTCCCACGGTTGAGTATATGGGCTGTTCTAGGCTTAGCCATGGTAAATAATTCTGGCACAGACATCTCTATGCAAATGATCTCAGGCCTCCTTGTCTGAGTCTGGTATTGTTTAATGACCAAAAGGCAGGAATGGGTTATCTGTCCAGGAGAATGAACAAGTTCTTGAATCCTAAAGTCGAATATAGAGGTGATGGGGGTGAGAAGCCAAATGCGATTTATTAAAGAGCTCCTTATTGGGGGGAGTCTCTGGACTGCTCAAATGAGCAAAGCGTGGGTGATGTTAGTTTGGAACTCAGGTGGATACTTTGGGATAAAGACTTATTCTGTGTTTTTCTTTTAATTAATGGCCTGGCATTAAGGATTCTCCAAAAGGAGAATAATTTGCTATAAACTAGGGGTGGACAATATCCTCTCAGCGTGACTCGAAGCACACATCTTGAGGGACAACTTCAGATTGCCTCTATTACAGCTCGCCGTTTGGTCGGAGAAGGGAATTAAGCAGATTAGTCAAGCTAGGTGCTTTCTTTACAAAGCCATGGAGGTTATTACTCAGGACCTTGTTATCTCCAAGGTGTTTGCAAATTGATTTTGGGATAATTTGTTCCAGGTAGAGAAGTTAAGTTGGCAGGCTGATAATTTCTGGACTCGTCCTTTGTGCATTTTAAATATATGGAGCCTCTGACGGCCATTATCAACTCTCGGGAGCTTCCATCAGTCTCCAGCAAGGCCTCAAGGGTGGTATTTTGTAGCTCCATGATGACTCTGCCTAATTCCTTAATATAATTATTCACAGAGCGGCTCTGGACGGGACCAAGAGCAGCCCACTCCAGTGCTGTGGGAGCTGAGCAGTGGCTGCACTCAGCTCTTCCATCGACTTTCGCCCATGGTTTACTGCTCTCCTATTTCAGGCATTAGCAGTTTTCAATTTCTGACCACCAGAAAGAAAATACAGTATTAATCTTTCCAAACATTTACTCTCTTTTCATGTATTTCTAATGGTAGCTACAAGTGCAATAACAAACACCTTCTCGAGTATATAAATGTACCCATCTCAAATGGCTTGCAGGTTCACAAGTTCATGTGCAGTCTAGGTGTTGTGGCTCTCTCTCTCTCTTTGTCTGTCTGTCTGTCTGTCTGTCTGTCTTCTCAAAATAGAACATGTAAGCTCATCATAGTGTTTCCTGTTTTAAGAATCATGAAGACATAAGATTATTGCTTTTAGCTTTTATATTTTGTTTTTTTTTTCCTCTTTTCATGCAGAACAGCCTTAAAAAGAGAAGGAAGAGGGGATGAGGACAGGACTTTCTTATTAACAAACACTATATCATTTTAAAATTAATAGAAACATTTTCATTAATTCTTACCATGGATTCTCTTCTGTATCTGAGATGAACTCCCCAATAAGACCATCTTAGATGATGGCCATCCTAAGACCTCAAGACATCTAGACGAATAGTGAGTCCCAGAGGGCACTATATAAATGGGGTGAGTAGAGCACTAGAACTCAAGGCCAGGTTCCTGTCCCTTCCTTTCTCATTTTATACTTTAGATGTTTATGGCATTAACTGCAAGTGTCATTAAAGAATGTGTATAGCAGGAGTGTCTGACTTTGAGTAACACAGAGACCCTAAAATTCTGATAAGAAACTCTGGGTATTCTTCTGGGAAATGTACAAAAGTGCATTGCCCAGAGTTCTGTGCCTCGCTTCAGAAATTCATGTGAATTCTTCTGTTGTAGTTAATCTTCCCTGGCTACACAACTAGGTCTAAAATCATACAGGGGATGAGACATACCTCAGGGTGCATGTGTCGTGCGGCTTCCAGTGAGGTTTCGCTGAGGAAGACCTACCCTGAACATGAGTATCATTGTACCATGGGATGAAGTCCTGGGGCTTAGTAAAAAGGACAGAGGGGAGA